TAAATTTCACTTCTCTAGTTACTTTCATGTAAGTGGAATTACAGTATTTGGCCTTTTGTGAATGGTTTATTTCACTTGGCATAACATCTCTAAGCTTCATTCATGTTGTAGCATGTGTCAGGATTTCTTTCCTTTTTAAGCTTGAATAATATCCCATTGTATGTGTATATCATGTACATTACCTTTCTAAAAACAACCTTTTAGCATAAAACTAAGACAAGCTCACTTAACGTTTGGGTTAACTCTAATGCCTGCTGGCTTACACAGACCTCTAAGAAAAGAGGCTATTTCCACAACAGGGCTCTGGTTAGACCCTTTAGAGTGTGTATGGTATGAAGATGGAAGAATAATTTTATTTAAATTCCAAAAATTTAATCACCATCCCCACTGTGGCTGGGGAGATGGTGACTCAGCCACAAACCCAGGCCAAGAGTCTGGGTTTGCTCATGCCTGTCCTTGGTCCATCTCCATCAATATCCCCTAGTTTGGAAGAGAGTCAGTTTGAGGACTTCCTCATAGTAGCTGCACAGGAGGTGAACTCTTGCTAGGTTCCCACTTGTCCTAGGAAATCCATCCAGACTGAGTTTGTCCTGGTATCTTCATCTCTTTAAAGAATTTACATGCTGGCCGGGCGCAGTGGCTCACTCCCTATAATCCCAGCACTTTGGGAGACTGAGGCAGGTGTATCACCTGAGGCCAGGAGTTCAAGACCAGCCTGGCCAAACATTGCAAAACCCCATCTCTACTAAAAATATAAAAATTATCTGGGCATGGTGGCAGGCACCTGTAGTCCTGGCTACTTGGGAGGCTGAGGCAGGAGAATTGCTTAAACCTGGGAGGGGGAGGTTGCAGTGAGCTGAGATTGTGCCAATGCACTCTGGCCTAGGTGACAGAGGGAGACTCAATCTCAAAAAAGAAAAAAAAAAAAAAAGAATTTACAATTTACATGCTTATTAGGTGGAAGAGGAATCTGTTACAACCATGACCTGCTGCTCTCAGCTCTTTATTACATAGCAAATTACAACATAGTGCCCATACTTTGGGTTCATTCCCATCCTGGACAGTGAATGAGCAAGAGCGCATGCGCGCGTGTGTGTGTGTGTGTGTGTGTGTGTGTGTGTGTGTCTCTCTCTCTCTCTGTGTGTGTGTGTGTGTGTGTGTGTGTCTGTGTGTGTGTGTGTGTCTGACCTGGCCCAAGGCCCAGGAGTACAACTAAATAGCTCTCAGTCTGAATTCTACAGCAAACTTGCTTTCCAAGCTCTAGGCTAGAAGCCAAATATGTGGGCAAGTGCAAATTAGCCAAATTATTTCACTCTATTTGCAGGCAGTTGGGTTTCCCTAGTTGCAGCACAAGAATGCTTTTAGCGTTTAATATTAGTGATAGCCTTTGCCAGTTGCTTTAATTTCTTATGACCTCAATCAGGTCCGGACTCTTGTCCCTGCCCACAATATAGCATAAAGACCAAGTGGCTTACCCAGTGTCTCAGAAAATGCTAGTATTCAGAGAATGCTAGTTATTGAAGGATTCCAATTTGGCTTTAAATTGGGGATCATTTGATGTTGCAAATGAAATTGTCAAGACACCTTCTACATAGGAGCAATACACACTAAGGGCTGAATTAATTTTTGGAATTTAAATAAAATTATACTTCCATATTTATACCACAAGCACCATCAAGAACCCACTTATTTCAGTCTCTCACATCTTGTTAAGGGTCTTCTGGGAATGGCTTGAGGCTTTTTTGGCACTGAGTTCCACAGACAAGTCTCACCCAAGAATAACACAGAGAGTTCTGAATCCGTTTCAGAAGACCAGCTTCTGGTTTGTGTTGCATAGCAACTCAATTTTAGAGAGACGACTTCTCAGCAATCTCTCATTAGATCATGTGGTTTAATTTTTAATCAGTGATGCTCTGTACACTGAAGTATATTTCTGGCTAGGACAGAAGAGGTATTTATGAAACAAACATGTTAAAAATGTTCTGTATGAAAACTAGAGAAAAACTGGGAAAAAAATTACCGGTTTTATTCAGCAGTGACCATTTTAATCTGAACTGTTAAATTTTTCTCAATGGCCACTAGATGGCATTTCTCATGCAGTGTTAGAAAATGGATGATTAAAGTGTGTTACGTTGCCAAAGTCATCAAAATAAAGTGACCCAACATAATTTCATAAGAACAAAGTTTAGCCATGGGAAATGTTTTGTTATTTTCCATGGTGACTTGGTTTTATGTGTGTTTTAATGTGGGGAATGCAAACACACAAAACGGCAAATTAGATACTTAGAAGCACACTAAGAGGCAAATATCTCATTTTTCAACCAAAAAGAATAGAGTTCATTGGAATTTTTAAAGAAAAATAACGGAACTTATGTTTTAACTTATTTTTCTAACTAATTTTAGCATGTGGGGAAACACTGGCAAAATAGCATACTTACAGCATCTTGAAAACCAAAGAGCACCACCTGGACTTGGCTAATACCGTGGCTGTCGAAGTCCAGCTCCAGTTTCAGCTTTGACAGTGTGGTGGCTATGATTTTTCGATCTGTGGATCTCACAAATTCTCTGAGGCTTGCAATGAGGGTTGTGATGTGTTCCCATTTTAGTTTTGGTTCTTCAGCCCCCTGTGAATAAAAACCAACAATCTTTCAGTCAATCTCTGCTGGATAGACCAGCCATAGAAATCCTATCCCCATACCCCCTTGTCCATGCTTTTTTTGCTTTTGGTAGAGACAAGGTCTCACTATATTGCCCAGGCTGGTCTCGAACTCCTGGGTTCAAGTGAGCCTTTCACCACTGCTTCCCAAAGTGCTGGGATTCCAGGCGTGAGCCATCATGCCCATCCAATTCCCACATCCCATTCTGAGAAGAACTGGACTTCCAAATGTCTCCAGAGGAAAGACCATATTTTGAACTATATGGCTCCTCTTCACTCCTCCTACCGACACCATGAAATAATCAGAGAGAAAAGGCACCTGCCCCACATGCTGGTCAGTAGCCGTAATATAGTCAGATAACAAAGCTCTGTCCAAACAGACTGAGGCCATAAGATTCTTTCAGAAATTCTAATTGAGAACTAAAAAGAGATTTTGGCACTAAGCCATAGGATCTCAACCTGAAAGTCTGCCTAGAAAGAGAAGTCATAATACAGGGTCATGAATATGTCCAACCATAAGAAAGGAAGCAGAAACAACGGAACTGAGAAAGACAATAGGGAATGTATTAGTTAATTTTCACACTGCTGATAAAGACATATCTGAGACAGGGCAATTTATAAAAGAAAGAGGTTTAATGGACTTACAGTTCCACGTGGCTGGGGAAGCCTCACAATCGTGGCAGAAGGCAAGGAGGAGCAAAGGCACATCTTACATGGATGGTGGCGGGCAAAAAGAGAGAGGTTGTGCAGGGAAACTCCTGTTTTTAAAACCATCAGATTTTGTCAGACTCATTCACTATCATGAGAACAGCACAGGAAAGACCTGTCCCCATAATTCGATCACTTCCTACTGGGTTCCTCCCATAAAACATGAGAATTGTGGGAGTTACAATTCAAGATGAGATTTGGGTGGGGACACAGCCAAACCATATCAGGGAGGGAGAGGAGAAGTGGAGGAAAGCAGAAATGAGTACCAAGAGGGTCAACAGCAGCCAAGCCAGAGAAAAGATGTACAAACTTCCTTGGGCTCATATTCTGTTTTCCATGTCTGTGAGACTCAACTAGGCACTATGGTTGGAATGCCTTAAGAGTCTATTTCCCTTAGTGCTATGTGTGTCTATCTACAATGTGTCCGTGGTATTTCAGTTGTCATTATAGTGTGTCAATTCCTTGCAACCAAGAGGGGCTAATCTCAAACTTCATTCCTGAAACAACTCCTTACCCATCAATAAGGCAATTGCTTATAAGAATGGGCTGATGGACTATTATATTATACTAAAATATATTACAATGTTCAAACAAATGCTCTCCCTCAAATTGAATTTTTCTTTTTTTTTTTTTAAGAGACACGGCCTCTCTTTGTCACCCAGGCCAGAGTGCAGTGGCATAATCATAGCTCACTGCAGCCCCTAACTCCTGGGTTCTAGCTCTCTTCCCACCTCAGCCTCCTGAGTAGCTAGGGACTATAGGCATGTGTCAACACACTCAGATAAATTTTTTTTTTAACTTTTTTTGTTGTTGTTGTTTAACTTTTTGTAGAGACTGGGACTTGCTAAGTTGCCTGGGCTGGTCTCAAACTCCTGGGGCTCAAGTGATCCTCCCACCTTGGCCTCCCAAAGTGCTGGGATTATAGACGTGAGCCTTTTTTTTTTTTTTTTT